ACGTGCACCTTTTGAGTGCCTATTTAAGTAGTCCGCCCGAAGGTTCTACACTATCTGCCGTACCTGCACCCCAACTAAGGGGGTACCCATTTAAACCATCTGGCTAGAGTACAAGCTTTTAAAAAGATATTTATAGTAAAAAATTAACACTATATATAATAGCAGTATTATAGAAGGCTCTACTATACAAAGATTATACAAGTAAATTCTTGTTTGAAAAATATAAGATAATATTAACTTTAAGGTAATCTTGAATTTTGATTAAAAAAATAATATAACTATACTGTAATGTACTGTAAATTAAAGTAATAAAAAAAGTAATAAATATAATAAACTTTGTAATAAAAATTAGTTTAACCAAATAAAAAATACTTTTAATACTTATATTATAACCAATTTAAATAAAACTATTTAATTTAAAAGAAGTTTGCAAGTAAACTTAAAATATATTTAAACAACTTCAACAAATAATAGCAAGTTTATATCTAACTAAAAGAACTTGTATAAAATATACAGTAATACAGAAATACTAACTTTAAAATATTAATAAGGTTGTAATATTTTTAATATAGAAGTGGTATAATATATTAACAAAAAATCTAGCTAGAAGTTTTGATGCTTATAACCTACTGTATAATAATTACTAATTTAAAACTTGTACTGTATATACAGTATATAGAAGAAAAAAAATTGTGCTCAAGATATAAACCAAATTATAGTAGCATCACAAAAGATACAGTAGTTTGAGATATAATTATTGAAATATAAAATAGTATATATAATTAAATTAATTTTAATATAATATATATAATATATATATATAATATATATATTTATTGGCTAATAACTTTATTTTTTTTTTATAAATATATAATATAAAATGCACCTATAATATTTAATAACACTATATACGTACAATTTTACTGCTAAAATTTAGAGTTTAGGCTAAGATAGAGATTAGTTGATATACCGTAAAATATACAGCACCTAGTCTCTACCCGCACGCCCTTATTCCCCACTGTAATACAAACCAAAAAAGGAAATTTTTATTTATAGATTCAAAAAATCAGGTATTCATTACAAAATTTTAGTAGCTCTACCGAATTAATATTTACCGTGAGAAATAAGTATACCTTCAATAAAATCTTTAATCAAGTTATTCCCGTTAATCTGAAATTGAAAAAAGCAGGGTAGAGAGTGAGTGTTCCATATTTTACGGTATTGGGGCTCCGATTATTTTTACCTAGAATGCTAGAATTAATTGGTTAATTTTTGATATATATTAATTTAACTACGTAGTTACTGGTAGTATCTTAATAGGCGATCAAATAATATAAAAATAATAAGAATTCTCAATACGTAGAATATACGTATTCTTTATGTAAAAATTAATAGTATTAGTAATATTTCGGGTAATTTAACCCGGGTTAAAAATAGAATTTCTCTAATAAAATAATACGTGACAATTATAAATTTTAATAATACGTACGTACGTACGTACGCACGTAGAAAATTATTATTTATATATTCAATAAATATTTAATTCAATGAAAAATGTATGTTCGGAATACATTATTCATCGGTAATTGCAATATTTGGAAGAAAACGCACTTAAATAGATAACATTTACTAAAATGGGTACATTAAAAACGGTGGTTCCACGATCCACCAAGTTCCAGCTCTCTATAATATACAAGAACACGTGAGGCAAAATCGCTATTTGGTACGCTGTTTGTATTAAACGTATTATTATATTATTACCAGTTACACTTTTAAAGGTAACACGAGAAATTTTTTGCCACTTTGCATAAAAACACATTAAACTTTAATTCCATATATGTTAATACACTTTTTATGTGTATATACTTGGCATATTTAATAACAAAAGTAACAATGTATGTTGTACTCGAATTGGCTGGCTATCTTGATTCAAAATCCACATACGTAAAAGAATTCCCAAGTCTTCTTTCTAGCTTAATTTTGAGTAAAGAAAATTGGAATCTGACTCTGATGTATTCTAATACGGGATATAACATATATACTGTATTAATCAAAAGATTTTATTAAGATAGAAATTAAGTTATTCGTTGACTTTAGTTGTCCCATTGTTCTTTAATTCAAGTTTCACAAATACACAACTAATAATGATTAATATTTATACCGCATGCCAAGATAATTAAAAGATGTAAAATAATTTACGTAATGATTATATCAACTTCCAAAATAAAATGTAACCATTTGTATTAATATATTGAGCTATTTGAGCTATTCGAAAATAGAAAATAATCTTTTTTTAGGACACATACGTACATACGGTACGTACGAATGATAATAATAGATGCTACACAGGCCATCTGCAAACAACGCCATATTCGGGTACATATCTGAATCTCCGAATTATCCGATTGCTAATAAAGTCAAGAACCAAATAGAAGAAAAATATAATAAACAAACTTACTCCCACCTCCCACGAACTTTATTTACCTTGTTTTCAACATTTGGAAATCAAAAAATTCAGGCAATTTTGCCAATGGAATAAAGAAAAAAATTATAAGGAGGCATCATTTCTCAAAACCGTAAAAGGATGCCAAAAATTACAAAGGTTGTTCTTAAAAAAATTGAAAAATTCCAAAATGGCATATATTGTTACATAGAATGTTGAAAAGATACCGATATTTTATGGGACACGAAAGTCCAAGAGATACCCCTTAGCAGTGTATGGTTTCCTAAAGAACGTAGAGTTACATTATATTCTGCATGTGAAATTTGAATGATTAAATTAGGAAATATGCGATTAAAGAACAATCAGCAGATTTTTACAAAAACATTATGCTTTGTTTTGTCAAATGTTTAACATCTGTATAACATCTGTATAACATCTGTATAACTTTTATATGCAATATCATTTAAAAAACCCTAATTTAGAAGTGCGGTTAATTTTGTTTATCAAATAATGAATACGAAGACGTGTTACGAAATTAAAATTGGCGTATTTATTACACGTCATAAACACAAACTGTGTAATAAACGATAATAGGTGAATTTGTCCTTCCTGAAAAAAGGGGTGAGTTATATAATGGAATATTCTAACATTTGACAACCAACTTTTAACGAATATGTATTAATTAAAATCAGAGGTCGATTTGAATTAATGTATTATTGGGTAAAACTTTCTTCTTGGCGACTTTTTCATTAACGCGCCAATTGTAAAATTTCTTTCTCAACATCTTTCAATTACGCACGTTCTTTTTTTTAAAAATTTACAGTAATAATGATCATTTCCCTCTCCCTCTTTGTTAAGTTGATCTGTCTGGTTCGCAACATTAGAAGTAATGCACATGCTTAATATTAATAGGATCGACAGAAATGTTGTGTCAATGTTTTTTTTTTTTTTTTTATATTAATTGATTGTCTTATTTAATCTACAATAGAAAAAGTACCGCTACGAAGTATAGGGATGTTTATATTTTGAATTTATATGTACATACGTAAATAAATAATTGTAATATTTCATTAGTTTCATTAGTATTGGAAACAACTATAAAAACCAGTCGTTTCCGACTTACTTTGATTCTTCACGGTAAATTCTTTAGTGATTAATCCTTCATTGGTTTTTTTTTATTAACGAATTACTTAATTTTTTACCGTTATTGTAAATAATATTTACATTTTTATTATTAAAAAAATGAAATCTCAATTCACGATTCTTTTGTTCGTTTTTTTGGCATCGGCCATAACGCTAGTTTCAGCACAACAGAATGTCACTGCTTTATTCCCTGAAGCTGAAGCAGATAATAATATCTGTAAAGGCAAAACACCCACAAACGGTTTACAAAATAGGAATGGATCGTGTTCTGATACTGTCCAAGGAGAAATTCCCGATGTCGACCATATGGTCTCTTCGCTGATAGTCGAACCTGCAAATGGTTGTAACTTACCAGCATTCACAAATTTCACTGTAAAGATTTCTACCATTGGAATTGTCTCTGGATTCTTTGACGACCCAACATCACAATATTACACATTTCCTCAAGTTGTTGATAAAGAAACTGGAAATATTTTTGGTCATTCACATGTCACCATTCAACAATTGAATTCTACTACCCTTGCTCCAAATCCAAAACTTTTTGCATTCTTTAAGGGGTTGAATGCACCAGAAGAGGATGGCCTCTTTTCTCAAGTAGTTGGTAGTGCAGCTAATAATGGATTACCACCAGGTGAATATAGAATCTGTTCGATGGTTGCTTCGTTTGCCCATCAACCTACTATTATGCCAGTTGCTCAGCGTGGAAGTCAGGATGATTGCATTAGAATCACAATTTCAGATGCAAAAAAGAAACGTAAAGTTTCAAATAAAAAGAGAAAAGCATAAATTTTTATAGAATAACTTAATAGAATTTTTCTAGTTTAATTTTTTAATTCTACTGTATCATTCATGCGCATTTAAAGCAACTTGGATACTTAATTTGGTTAATTTGGTTAATTTGGTTAATTTTGTGCAAACTATACTAGTTAATGCAATTCTTGTATAATTCTATATAACTTCACATAACCTTTTTTTTAATATGTACTGTACCTTACCTTCTTGTCTTGAGTAATAAATAAAAATAATCTGGGTTTTTTAATACATTATATACGTATTTATTTTGAATACTATTTTGCTACTATATCAGACCTTAATTTTTTTCACAAGTAAAGATATATAATATCTAACTATTGAATTATTTTCACGATTAATTTAACCTAACAGAGTTTGCTAATAACATGATTATTAACGGTTTGAATATACCCCTTTTTTTTGAATATTTTTGAATAAGACTGACACATTAAATAAACAATGTACAGTTATAAAATTCAATTATAAAATTCAATTAAAAGATTGTAAAATATATAACTTTCTAATATTTAAATACATTGTATGATCTTTAGTTTTAATAACTGTATTACTCTACGGATCAAAATGTTTTTATAGGTATTCTTCTTTAGGAGCACTTAAATTGTATGTAGTATGGTCTTCGACTATTTATGCTTAACCTAAAGATTTTAATAAATTTGTAATTGGAACTTTTCGTTGAAGTTATAATAATAAATTATAATAATAAATTTGCTTAAAAATGATAGTTTATTAAAGATTTACGACCTATAAATTATTAAGCTCCAAAACTTATCTAGTTTTTATGCTTTTTACTAACTTATTTCAAATATATACATATATATAGCATTCCTAATATGTATAATCAAATAAATATAAACTAAAAAGATATTCGAAACGTGTTTAATTTACTAAACCTTTTAAATTAAATTATAGTATACTGTATCTGTCAAATACGATTGACATAACCATACTGTTGTATGTATCAAAATAGACTAGGTGCTGCAAAAAAAGAGGAAAATCAAAAAAAATAAAAATCTTATGATAAATCAAAATTTTACTACTTTTATGTCACAAGTGAAAAATGATTCTAATCTTGTTCTAAATTGATTTGTGTAGAAAGAAAAAAATAGATTCTTTTGAAAATTTTGTCAATTTCTTTTCGCAGCACCTTGCCCATATCTACGTATATAATATTATTATTATCTACAGTATATATTTGTTAATACGTTTATTTAATAGTTATACATGTAAGCTGAAAAATTAGTTTAGCAATAATTGTATATACAGTATATAGAAATTTTATAAAAAAAATCACGGTGATTTATGATAGATCACACTATACTTAGTGTAAATTCTTTCCATAAAAAAAGATAATTGTTAAAAAATGCAGTATTTAATTAACACAAATAATTTCTAAGTGTTTATTATACAAAAGAAAGCATGAATTCACAGATCTTATTATTATTACTTATAAAAAAAGTGGAGGGGTAATGCTTAATTTGAAGTATTTACGGTACTGAATCATTAATATATACATATTTATTTGTGTTAAAAGATTAGATTAGTAACGTATTTCCAATTTAGCATATAAATAATTGGAAGTTACGTATTCGTAGAGAAACAAATATGCTTAAAAAACAATAAGGAGAATAATTAAGGTCAAAACAATTGATGTATTACAGCAGGCACGTACTTACATACCAGATATTCTCATTAATAAAATAATAAAATACATATGTTTAATGGGATTTTTGACCACGCTATACGTGTAATATATGATGCTTTTTTGTTTTCCTGAAATAGAGTGCCCAGAAATTGCTGCATCATCAGAAATGACGATTTCATTAAACCCCATGCATTTTTCTATTACGATTATCATTAAATTTATATAAATAATATTCCAAAAAAAAAACCAGTAAATCTAAAAAGAAAATTAAAAAGAAACCTAATTTTACTGGTCAACTCAGCAATTAGAATTCATAAATTATTACTATTTATATTCGACAATTAATTTTATTCTTTATAACTACCTATTCATTTATTTATCTATCTATCACAAATTTAATTAAAATATTTTAAATTGAAATTTTCCCTATTGTTAATTAATTACTTTAATTTTACTTTAATTTTATTTTATATTATTCTTTTGTGACCTTATTTATACGTAATACCGTATATCAAAGAATGAAAATTTAGGTTCCTATCATAACCATCGTCACACTATCCTCACCACGACTAGAGTGGATTATCTTGTAGGTGCATATGCTTATATTTTCATGTATCATATAGTAAGTGCCTTATGTTATGTCTACAGTATAAGTATAATGAATGCCTTTAAAACAAGCGTAAAATTTTAAATTTGTCAGTTCTGTGTGGTAAATAGAGTGAGGGGATCAGAAAAAATTCGGGCATGCCTTAGACTAGAGGCATGCTCCTCCTTGTCTTTATATATGCAGTTAATATAAACCAATCAGACGTCTTTTAAAATATTAAATGAAATGGGTATGCCTTTTTAGATTAAAAGCATGCATGCACAAGGGGGCATTCCCAAGAACCCTGCGCCCTTCACCCTAGTGGTAAATGTTGTGGGTTCTCAGGAATCCCTTTTTTTCTTCAGAACGATCAATTCGTTATAAAGAAAATCAAAAGAAAATCAAAATTCGAACGTATATGTAATTCTTTAAATTATAATAACTGATAATATATTTTCAATTATTTAAAATTTCGTTCCAATTCAAAAACTTTAAGAAAACTAATAGCTATATCCTTACAAATTTGTCAATTAATCGTTGGTAGTGAAATAATGTAAAGCAATTGCGCAATGTAGTTACGCCAAGGAACAGATGTACCAATAAAATAAATAGCTCTAATTATTTATAATTGATAAATTATTTACTTACTAACCTATCCTTATACGATTAATTACATACGTAAAAAAATCTTGGTTGTAAAAGCCGTTGTCAATGAGTATGTATGAAAGTATGGACAAACTATGAACTAGTTACACAATAAACGAAATGCCAATAACTTAAAATTTTATTATGCATTAAGTAAGGCTTATCATTAAATTTTATATACAAACCACAACATACGTGGATATATTGTAGTAACGTGATAACACTGACCTAGACACATCATTAGGGATAGTGAGTTCTACAGTATAAGAGCCGACATTTTTGATATCATATTTATATGAATTAATATATTAATAAAATTAATAAATATACAGTAAAATATAGTACTTACAAGATCTCTAAGAATATTATTACATGTTAAAATAAAGTCAGTACTATTTCCTTAGCAAATACATAGCTTATCTATTTATTGTATATTTTTACAAACTTTATTAAAATAATTCTATTTAATACTGTGTGATTATTATTTAATACTCTCAAAAACTATAAATTTTTTTGTTTTATGATCTAATAATATTTGGATAGTAGTCAACTTTTCATTACATGATAATAAAATTTGTATTATACAGTATATTAGGAAGTAACTCAAGTCTTAATACGTATAACAAATATTTTATTAATAAAATCTAATAATTTTTTCATTTAAGCAAATCAATTTTGTCATGTTAATAGCAAATCGAATACAGATCAAATACCGATACAACGAACCGGATTCACCAGTTTAACGAACGAATTGCAAAGAACCGAATTTTTTAATATACTGTATAAATAATTTATAATGGTTTATAACGGTTGTTTAACGGATTAATAAAAAAGCCATATAACCGTGATTTTTTTTTTTAGCCCAGATTTCCGTTATACGATATAGGATGTTCTCAAGCACCTACCTCAATGGACTCAATAATTGGTCAGTTTAATCAAACTAGCTAATCAGATTTTTTATTGAATTCATTGATTGCCCATAGATGATTGACTGTAGATTAGTGAAATTCAGCAGATCGCTGGAAGATGATCACATAAAATCACGATAGTCAACAACGTATAACAGGTTAGATTTGCTGCATATAATGTATAAAATATGGTACTCGCATAATTGGCTCTAAGTGTTCCGAAAGGCACCGAATAGAAAACACAAATTACTGATCTCGAAATTGACATCATACAATATATTGTCCACCAAGTGGGCAATAACCAAGAATCAATCCCAGATCAGATGATCGGATAATGACGGAATGGCGAAGCAGCCAGTGTGCTATTCAGTCATTATTCGATCATCTGATTTGAGATTGATTTTTGTTTCGCGGATAATAACTGATTTATTCCCAGGTTCTATTTTACTTCTATGCTATTTCTTCAAAGTAAAATTACGTATTTCATAGAGTCTAACTTACTACAGATCACAAAACCTCTTTCGTTTTTTTCCTTTTTTTTTAGCTAACAACTTTTACTATTTGTTAGTAACTCTAATAGTTAAAAATTTCGTATATCATTAAAAAAGTAAAAAAAAAAGATATATACTCAAAAGAATTATAAAAATTCTGGATCAGTCCGAATTCGAAATCTGGACAATAATCGAGAAGGAATAGTATAGAAGTATAAAGAAAAACCGGTGAATAATCAATTTTTTTTCTCACCGCTCTTTTTCTTCTTTTCCACCCATTATTTTATTCATTATATCGCCAACAATGAAACAAATCGAAATTATGGTAAGTATATTTTTTCAATTAATAGACCCTTAGGTTATCCTTTGTAGATAACGAATATAATTTTTAGAGGGCCAGGAGTGCAACTAGGAGCGTACCTCCACCTATTTAAATGATAGGTACTTTTTTTTATTTTTTTATTTCTAGCTATGTTTTGTTTTATCTTTATACTTAGATATTTAATATTGTATCTTGTTCTGATTTCGTTTATTACAGTGATACAAAATTCCCAAAGGATGCAGGAAAAATATTGTAACCAAATTTCTGAAGAATACAAGGCAAAATAAAAATATGTTTGGTGCATCAATTTTTACAAATAATATGTTAACCAGGTTTGAACAAGGCACATTTCAAGATACTGTACACAAAAGTATCAATCACCTCCACCATTTTAATTCACGAGGAATGAAATAAGACTAAAGACATTTACAAATTTACTTCCTCAGAAGTTACTGTCTTTTTGAGAGAATGAAGAACATTGAAAAAATTGTACAATTCTATAAGACCTATTACAACCGTCACTTCGGTAGTTTTTTATTTTTTAAATGTAATTACCAAAAATTTAAAATCAACGACAGTTGACGAATTAAAAAAGTACCTTCATAAGGATTCTACTTGGATATTAAGGACATTGGGGCAAAAAGAATAACATCACTATGGGATGTTATTCTTTCTGAAAACACCAAATTAATTTATGTATAGTATATTCATGTAATTAAAATAGAGGTAACAAAATTAGGTAGGGCTTTAAATTATGTAACCAATAACTATGTAATGAATTATAAAATTTATAATAAAGATTTACGAACAAAAAGTTCGTCCTTAAAAAAAAAAATAAGCTACGATCATACAGTTTTAATTTCCAGAGGAACTTAGGTCCAGACGATAGACAAGAAAAAAATTCTGGGTGGGTTTCGGGTGTAGGATATGGTAAATTTCTAAATTACCACTATCTTCCAATTGATCAGAATCAGATTATTATTGTAATTATTATCACTTAGTAATATGGTAAATATATCGTTCTTTAAATTTAACTTGGCTCTGAGTGCAAGATGAGAAAATTTCCAAATTACTGTTTCGCCCAATCGATCAGACTTATAACGGTATTGTAGTTATTGTCACTTAGCATATCGATATGATATATTGTTCAATTTAATTTTAATTACTGTCGTTTAAAAGTCTATGACTTATCGTTCTTTAAATTTGACTTTTAATAGAAAAACTCGTGATAATATTTTAATGGATGATCTCGTTTACAATAGAGTCTACGAAGTTAAGTACGCTAATAATTTTTTGAGCAGAGTATGATTATCTACTTAAGCTATATTAAATTAACTGATTCGCTATCAGACGCCGAAAAATGCATGATGCAAACCTTCCCGTGGTGTGACCTGGAAATCGAGCAATTTGTTCGCAAGTAATTTGTCTTTGGTTGAACGTGTATCAAGGCTTGTGCAACATTATTAATAACAATATAAACTTATTGCTTTGAATTTATCTGTTATTATATTTAATGTAACAATAATTGTAGAAAAAATTAATAAAAATGAAAGTTATACTTTATTTAGTTTGGCAAAAAAATTAGTTATAAAATTGCATTCAAATAAGTTTTTACTTGTATATCTTATAAAATTGACACTATCGTTCCATCGAACATGTGACTTTAATCGAGATTCGATCTGATGACACGAGGCAGACACGAAGCAGATACTTTTGATACTTCTATGTTAGGCAATTTCTAAGTACATACGCATATGTAAAAGCTTTCAATTTCCTTTTACAGTATAAAAATTAAAAATTATACGTACGCGTACGTATTGGGAATATTATTAAGTCAGATGTTAAACATTTCACTGTGGAACTTCCGATGTAGAGATTTGACCGGCATAAATTTAAGCTCCGGGTTATATAAAAATCTTACCCAGGTGCAAAACTGGAGTTGCTAAATACACCGGGTTATCCAGTTAACCTGCCTAACCCGATATCCTAAAATCTAGTGTTTGAAGTCGATCAAGTCGCTGTTTAGACAGCTGCTTATGGTTTCTAATCTATATATTAATATTCTAACATTGCCTGCTAAGAAATGTTTGTCCGTTTTTCATATTTGCCATTAGTATAATAATCGATATTCGCAATTGGTTCTAACTGATAGTTTCGAATTTTAAATCCCAATCATAACTGTCCGAAGGATATTATGGTAGAGGAATAGTGTGCGCACTAATCCTGGGTTTTGATTGGCTGATCAGGTCAAGCCAATTATTATGCTCCGAAAATAACCGTTTTGTCAGACTGATCTTAAATGGGTTCCATTTACCTAGTCATATCTACATTCCGTGTTATATACCATAGTTTGATTTCTTCTAATCGGCGACAATTGGACCCTAAATAGAGTCACTAATTTCAGTCCAAACCCCTTGTTGTATAATGTCAAACCCATTGATTATCGTCTAAATCATTGCCTGAGCCTACTGAGACATGCTATTTTACATTGTTATTGTTATGAGTAAATGTTAATAAAAATAAATTCTTCACCCCAAAAATGGTATATATAGTTAGTTGTCTAATCTATACTATGTTATATTTCAGTCATATGTGATGATGAAATAATTATGATTGGTCATTAATATCATATAAAAAAAATCAGCGTTAAAAAGAATGAGCACAAAGCATTCGAATATTATTAAAAATTTGATTTTAAACTCTACAAAGATAACACGATAATTGATAATCGCCATGGATAATTACCTATAAAGAAGACTACCAAACACTAAGTCACAGATTCAAAAAGTATGGTTTATGCCAAGAATGCAATAATCCTAACACCGGAGAACAATGGTGTCAAGCTTGTAATGCTTCTCGTTCACAAAAAAACTTTCCTAACTGAACCAGCGGCAATCCTCAAATAGATGAATTCATCCAAAAATACCAACTCCAAGCCACTGATGCAGATAAGTTTTTAGAGTGAATTCCTTATCAAACAATTGTATTGTTAAATAACCTTTCCTACTATCAAAAATTTTGGAAGTATTAAAATTCTATGTCATTACGGCGATTTTGGGTCAAAATCCCGAACAACAGATTATCGAAAGAACATAACGCCGACTAAATTGGCCAGCATTATGGTTAGTGCCGACTAACTTTATCGGTATTACGTTCTTTCGGGGATCCGCTTTTCGGGATTTTGACCCAAATTCAATTACTGCGACTTTTTACACTACCTAAAATTTATGACGCAGTATGTGACACATATATTAATATTATAAGAAATATATCTATACAATATAAACTATTTATAAAAGGAGATGGTGCTTGATAATTAAATGGCAATTCGGGGTTCTTAATTTGGGCCCAATTCCAAAAAATCGTCATGTACATATTAATAAAATTCACTCTGTAAATGAAGTTTATACTGTATTTTTAAATTACAATTCATTTTAACAAATTATCGAATAAATCGATTGATTACAATTTTATTTTTTATATAATTAATCGGTTAGGCATAAGTTGCTCTGGGTTAGATACCAAATCACGATTCCCGAGGAGCCAAATCTCTACTCGTTTTTTTGATCGATTATAAAGTATATCGATATGTCCTTAAATCAAATTAAGTGTTGCTGATACTGTTAAGTTTCCAACATTTCATAGTATCAAAGTTTTATTCTTCTTTATATATAGTATATTAAATTATTCTTTATGACTTGGTCCTGAAGATTGCCGTAATATACTAAATGCTCATCATACCGGCTTATTAGTTCAAATAAGCAGTTTAGAAGTAAAGAAATTTTACTATTTTTCATATTGTGCCTCAGCCGCTCAAATTCGGGTTAGAATAAATTCGTGCAGATCAATTAATACCGGCCAAATCGAGGCACATTATTATTAAAATATTCATTATTGCAATTCGCAAAAAAAAAATAAAAAAATAGACATGATTATTTTCACGAGCAATTTTTTTTGACTTTTATCCATTGTAATATAGCATATAGAATGTACATTTGCAAATTACATGCTTATTATTGTTGCTATAAATAGTTAGAAATTTAAATTGTAAGGTGAATTATCGTGTACAACTTAATTCTCTTGATTGTGTGTTAGTGGAAATGTGTTATTTTTATAGCTTAGTAAATTTATTGTTTCGAGAAATGTTACTGTATATTTTACACAATGGTTTTTTTTTCTTTTTTAATCTTAGAAAACTTAATTATCCATCGGGTTCGTATCATTTCACCGACAATCACTTCAAACTCATTTCACCGACAAACTTATTTTACAGACGATTAATTTACAGACAAGTTCATTTTGTAGACAGTATATTTCACCGACGGTTCATTTCACCGACAAATTTTATAAGTTGCACTAGCCTTAACTCTGATTCTAAATCTAATCCTAATAACGATGACTAGAATTATTCGTCTGCGAAATGAAATTGGTTTTCGCGATTTGCATAAATTTGTAAAATTTGCAGATCATAAAAATGAAAGACTTTTACTAAAACGCACCTATGGTGTTTTACAGCTATGTATATATTGTCGCGGAAATCGGATGATCGTGAAATCTGGAGGCCTTAATTTATTAAAAATATAAACCCTACTAAAACACACCTATATTCTTTATTATAAACCCTAACCCTAAATCCTAGTCCAAATCCTAAAAAAATGTACCCTAAAAACTTTTAAAAATCGTATATTAAATAGGGATTTCTAAGTACCGTATAGTCGCGAAATAACGCGCAGGTGGAATCTCGGCCCGAATTAAGCTTAATTTAGGCCGAAATTCGAAATTACACCCCTGCGCGTTATTTCGTGACTATACGGCAAGTATTTTTTTTTTTGTTAAAGGTGGTTAATTTTTTAAGTGCAGATAACTTTATGATGTGAAGTAACTTATAGAACCAAATAGAAAATCATTAAAATGTTTTCTGTCAGGTTTTGTTGATAATTCATCACATGGTAATATTGCAGCTATTCGAACTTGTTTTTATGCTAAAACAAAATAAATTTTAATAACCGTTGTTTTTAAAACTTTAAATGAAAAAAAAATACTGTTCAACCAACCTAAAAAATTTCGTTAAGATCAAGTGTAATATAAAACAAAAACACGGGTCCATGTCACTTGCCCTACAACAATTTGTCCGACAGCTATTTTTTTAGTAATATTTTTAAGAATATTATTAAAAAAATAGCTGTCGGATAAATTGTTGTAGGGCAAGTGACATGGACCCCAAAAACACGCCCAAGCCCTAACGCTAACACTAAT